ACAGACAGAGGAATGAAGAAAAAAAAATTGCTGAATTCTTTTTTTCTTTTTTCTCTAACACCGTTCCTTATCCTTTTTTTTTTATATCAAGAAGTTTTTTTTTTCTTTTTTACAATATAAAATGTCATCTCTTTTTTTTTTATGCAATTATTGCGTATCTTTTCTGTACCTATCAGATATTTACAGTTATAGTCTTCTGGTTTCTTTTGTGGGAATTGTTTGCACGAATTTTCAAGTAATATATATCCTCTAAGTAAAAAGAGTTGAAATATTTGAATTACCAGACGGTTTTCAATCTTCAATACGTATGTTGTAATGTAGTGAAGGAAAACGACAATAAAGGATTAAAATGGCGGAATGCTGGCTTGTCAGCCATCGAATTTGGCAAGCTGCAAATTAGAAATTGGTGATACCATAATCAAACAATTACTAAATTTTAAATATATAGGAAGTGTTTTAAAAACATGATCGAATGTGCGATATTGACAGGCGCATAGATGCCTTCGAAAAGGTATGCAACATATTAAGAAAAAAAGAAATTTCCGTAGAAACAAAGGAAAAGCATTGAACTGTTAGGTTATATCAGTTTTGCTATATGAAAGTGATTCTGGACAATATCCTCGCAAATAAAGAAGCGATGGAAGCAAGAGAAATCTGGTTCTACAGAAGGATATTTTAAATTACCATGGACCAAACATGTGAGCAACGACGAGGTTTTAGAGAAAATGGAAACAAAAAGGAAACTTATACTTAACATCAGGAAGAGACAGTTGAAATTTCTACAGAAGGATGCTGAGGATACCATGGACCGAACATGTGAGCAACGGTGAGGTTTTAGAGAAAATGGAAACAAAAAGGAAACATATTTGACATCAGGAAGAGACAGTTGAAATTTCTAAAGAAGGATGCTGAGGATACCATGGACCGAACATGTGAGCAACGATGAGGTTTTAGAGAAAATGGAAACAAAAAGGAAACTTATACTTAACATCAGGAAGAGAATAGTTGACATTTCTACAGAAGGATGCTGAGGATACCATGGACCGAACATGTGAGCAACGACGAGGATTTAGAGAAAATGGAAACAAAAAGGACACTTATACTTAACATCAGGAAGAGACAGTTGAAATTTCTACAGAAGGATGCTGAGGATACCATGGACCGAACATGTGAGCAACGACGAGGTTTTATAGAAAATGGAAACAAAAAGGAAACTTATACTTAACATCAGGAAGAGACAGTTGAAATTTCTACAGAAGGATGCTGAGGATACCATGGACCGAACATGTGAGCAACGACGAGGTTTTAGAGAAAATGGAAACAAAAAGGAAACTTATACTTAATATCAGGAAGAGACAGTTGAAATTTCTACAGAAGGATGCTGAGGATACCATGGACCGAACATGTGAGCAACGACGAGGTTTTAGAGAAAATGGAAACAAAAAGGAAACTTATACTTAATATCAGGAAGAGACAGTTGAAATTTCTACAGAAGGATGCTGAGGATACCATGGACCGAACATGTGAGCAATGATGAGGTTTGAGAGAAAATGAAACCAAATGAAAACCTGTACTTAATATCAGGAAGAGACAGTTGAAATTTCTGGGGTACGTAATGAGGAAGGAGGGCTTGGAAAATCTGATACTCACAGGACAGTTTGATGGAAATTTGGACCGGGAAAATCAGCGTGTAGCATATTTGATGAGCTTGAATAAATGAATGTTAGGCCCGTGTTGACATAAATAACAAAATGTCAAAATTTATTAGGAAGTACATGGACAAGGAGAGAGCAAGAGTCATGTTCGATTACGCCCTGAAGAGACACGGCACATAGAAGAAGAAGAAGAAGAAGAAGAAGAAGAAGAAGAAGAAGAAGAAGAAGAAGAAGAAGATGACACTGCGTTGTTGACCTATTCGGAAATGAAACCACAAGAGCAACTAAATCGAACGATAAAAGTAGGCGAAAATGTAATGGAACAACCATCAACTGCAAGAAGACAGATTGCATGGTTGTTAGACGAAGTATGAACCCAAAACTTTAGATTACAATTTGGAGATATCTAAATCAATCACGTACAACAATTTAAATATCTTGTAAGTATTTTAACAGAGGGCGCAAACATGTGAGCAACGACAAGGTTTTTGTTAAAATAGAAAGAAAAAGGAAGCTTATAATTAACATCAAGAAGATGCTGTTGAAATTTCTGGGTCACGTAATGAGGGAGGGGGTTTGGAAATCTGATACTCACAGGACAGAGGGTATGACGATAAACTACTTCCGCGTCCTGGGTATGACGATAAACTACATCCGCGTCCTGGGTATGGCGATAAACTACATCCAACAGCAAGGCCTCAGGTAATGTTGTCGGAAAAATAATGTTGCCAGCTATACGTTTTTGAAACAATAATGTTGCCAGCTATGCGTTTTTGAAACAATAATGTTGCCAGCTATGCGTTTTTGAAGCAATAATGTTGCCAGCTATACGTTTTTGAAACCATAATGTTGCCAGCTATACGTTTTTGAAACAATAATGTTGCCAGCTATACGTTTTTGAAACAATAATGTTGCCAGCTATTCGTTTTTGAAACAATAATGTTGCCAGCTATCCGTTTTTGAAACCATAATGTTGCCAGCTATACGTTTTTGACTTTTAAAGTCACTCAAAATCATTTTCGGCATAAAATGACCACTAAGGTTGAGATGCCGTTAAACAAAACAATCAACAATCAAATGAAAATTCTTGACTTAAACAAAAAATACCTAGGATTATTTTGCAGTGTGCAAGCAAATAAGCTCTAGCTTGCTAAAAATTTTCCATACAAAACAGGCATTTAACATTCATTTATATATATATATATATATATATATATATATATATATATATATATATATATATAAAAACTGGATTTGGCATTAAATAACCCACAGTGGTTGATATGCCATAAAACCCAAACAAACAAACAAAAATCACAGGACAGATTGATAGAAATATGGACAGAGGAAAGCAGCGCGTAATAAACTTGATTAGCTTGAGTAAATGAATGTTAGAACAGTGTTCGGTAGAAATAACAAAAGAAAGCAAAAATTTTTAAGTAGGACAAGGGACAGGAAGATGTGGAGAGCCATGATCGCCAACGTCCTGCGTTGTTAGCCGCTTCGGAAATGAAACTACAGGAGCTCCTAAACATAACGATAAAGGAAGGCGAAAAAAAAAAAAGGGGGGAGACCAACCATCAACTGCAAGAAGACAGATTGCATGGTTGTTAGAAAAAGGACGAACCCAAACTGAAAATTACTATTTGAATACCAACATCGATCAAGTACAAGAATTTAAATATCTGCGAAGGGTTTTATGTGCGGAAAGTAAATCCGAAGGGGCATTGGGATAGCCAAATTGCCTTCAAAAAGCTAAGCAAAGTATTAAGAAACAGGAAAAAAAAGAAAAAAGTACAATTAGACAATCGCGTCGCAGATGAAGAAAAGACTTAAAGCAACAGAAATATGGTTCTACAGAAGGATGCTGAGAAAATTATGGACCGACTTTGTGAGTAATGACGAGGTTTTTGAGAAAATTGAAACAAAAAAGGCCCCTTATGATTAATATCAGAATAAGGGCTTGGAAAATTGATAATCGCAGGACATATTAAAAAACAATACGGACAAAAGAAAATAAACGCATAACTTCCCTAGAGATCTTGAGTGGTGAAACAGGTTTATAGGCGATAAGAAAAAGACAAAATCTATTACGAATATAAGAATATTAATATCAGTCCTCATATATGGCAGTGAATGCTGGGCAATCTCCTCACAGATGAAGAAGAGAATTGAAGCAACAGAAACAAGGAAAAGAGTATTAGACTCTTACATAATATCAGGCAGTGAATGATGGACAATCTCCTCACAAATGAAGAAGAGACTTGAAGCAACAGAAACAAAGAAAAGAGTACTGGACTGTTACATAATATCAGTCCTCATATATGGAAGTGAATGCTGGACAATCTCCTCACAGATGAAGAAGAGACTTGAGTCAAAAGTAATGTGGGTTGTTTAAAGCCTGCTGAGTATACCATGAATGCCCATAGGTGCGAGTTATGAACTGGAGATGTCAATTTTAAACAGGTGTAGATGTTTAAATATCTGGGAAGCGTTTTAACAAAGGATGGAAAATATGACACCGAGATCCGAAGTAGGCATTGGACTAGCTAAAGAAGCATTCCAAAAGCTAAGCAAGGTGATAAGTAACGGAAAAATCTTGTTATAAAAAAAGAAAATAATGCTGGATTGCTATGTCATATCATCGTCTTATATTGCAGTTGTTGCTGGACAATCTCGACACGGACGGCAAGACAGAAATGATGTTCTACAGAAGGATACTGAGAATTCCATGGACGGAGCGAGTAAATGCCAAGAACACTTCTACTCAGAATCAGAAAACAGTAGCTAACACCCCTTGGGCACATTATGAGGATGAACGGCTTGGAAATCTTAACCCTCACGGGGCTTTTTGAAGGTAAGAGAGACAGCGGAAGGCAGCGAGTCACTTAAATGACAAGTTTCTGTAATGGCGGGACGGTGTCAGTTGTCTTAATAATGGAAGAAAAACTAATAATAATCACACGAAATAGGAAGTTGTAGAGAGCCATGGCCGTCTATGTCCTGAAGGGACATCTCACATAGAAAAAGAATGTTAGAGCACGCTAACCTTCTTGCTAATTCAATCTCCGATTTTGTCCAAATGTGTCGTGTTGATTTTTCTTTTATATGCTATGTGGGCGTTCACTGTTCTCCACATCTTCCTTTTTTGGTGAGATGTATTTTGAGTGAAAAATCTGAAATTGTTAATCGATTTCAAAATTCAACAAAGTTTATTCATTTCGTGGTGATACCCTCCCAAAAAGCATGAAACCACATCTCCCTGTATATTGTCTGGTATCACGATTTCACTGATGTGCCAAGTTGTTGTTTTGGGTAACAAGTCCTGAGATAAAAATATCTTACTCATAACTGCCCTGCTTGGAAGGCATTAGCAGGAGAAAAAAATCTGTTGCCAACATTGGCAACCATGACAGAGGCTAATAAGATGAGTGCGAAGAGATTGGTTACGAGAGCAAGTGCGTATTCTTTAAATGTTGTCGGGCAACTGATATCATGTTTGTTGAGAAAAAACCGTGAGTAAACAAATACTTTCGTATAAAAAAAGTGAGTCTCATAAAATCTTGAATGCATAAGTAAGCAAACAGAAAACGAAACGGCGAGAAAGAAAAAAAAAGAAGCTAAAGAGACAGGGAGAGAAATGGCTACCAAAAGACAGAGAGAAAGAAAGAGAGAGAGAGAGAGAACAAAGAAACGTAGAGATAAAGAGAGTATGTTATTCTTTACTTTAGCGTTTCAAAGGTAATCTCTCTAAGACTCGGCTTTTTTAGAAAAATTTTTTTTTACAGTTTATCGTCACTTTCTTCGTTTGTTGCACGTGCAACATACCCATGCGAAAAGAAAAAAACAAACAAAAAAAACAGAAAAAGCAAGTTACCAAATATCTTCATAATTCCCATACCTCCGCCATCAACTATTCAATGTCTTTTCTCTACTGGACCCCACTCCCCTAAAAATAAGTCGTCAAGAATTTCATATATCTACCCTTGCACATTTAATAGCAAAAAGAATTTGACGGTTACTTTCAGTCGAAGCTACGGCGAAAACAAAAGTGCCAACAATTTGGCTGCTAAAAGTATATTAGAGATTCATAGATTTGGGAGGCTTACGGCCGCACGACGTGGTAACACCGGTTCCCGTGCAATGACCTCGATGGATGACCGCTTCGGAATACCAAATGCTGTAAGCTTGAATGTGCGGATGGCCACATTACTTTGACAGATCGACCCCCGCACGTTTGCCGAAATTAAGTAACGTCTAGCCTGCTAGGTGGGTGAGGGATTTAGAATATCAGGTTCTGTAACCTTGGCGTTAAAACACCAGCCCGTCTACTTTACCAACGTTAAGCAATATCGATCTTGGTCAGTACCTAGAAAGTAGACCGCTTGGAAATAACGGGTGCTGTACGCTTGGATAAGCGAGTGGTGTAATAGAAAATAACCACTCTCTCATAACTGTCTTATAGATTTTTTTCTGCCTTTCATCAGCAAGGCTGGTGCTAATCTCGAGTTAAGCAACATTGGGCCTGTTCAATATCAAGACGGGTGACCGCTTGGGAATACCAGGAGCTGTAAGCTTGGGTTGTGCGAGTCGTGTAAGGGATAATAACAACTCTCTCTTAATTGTCTTACATATTTTTTCTGCCTTTCATCAACAAGGCTGGTGTTAACCTCTAGTTAAGCAACATCGAGCCTGTTCAATGTCTAGACGGGTGACCGCTTGGGAATACCAGGTGCTGAAAGCTTGGATATGCTAGTGGTGTAATGGATAACAACCGCTTTCTCTTAATTGTCTTAGATATTTATTCTGCCTTTCATCAGCAAGGCTGTTGCTAACCTCTAGTTAAGCAACATCGAGCCTGTTCAATATCTAGACGGGTGACCGCTTGGGCATACCAAGTGCTGTAAGCTTGCATATACGATTAGTATAAAGGGCTTACGGCCACATCGCGTTGAAGTACTGGTCCCTGTAATTTTACCAAAGTTAAGCAATGTCGATCCTGGTCAGTACCTAGATAGTAGACCACTTGGGAATACCAGGTGCTGTAAACTTGGATGTGTGGGTGGTGTAATGTATAATGGCACGGAATTAATAATCGGAAAGCCGAGTTCCAATTCCCGTTGGCTTTCTTATATTCACTTACGCGCAAATACCAACTTTCCTTCTCAGCTCTGGGTTAACTAATACAACTTGTATCACAAAACAATTATTATCTAAACGAAAAAAAATCTTAAAATTTAAAAATATTTTCTGGCCTTAAATAACTAATGTGTTTACAAGCCGTAGAAAACAAATCAAGCAGTGTTCGATTTGGACTGCATAAGTTAATAATTGCACTAAAAATAGATGATTTAGGGAGAAACCTTTAAAAAAAAGATCGACCTTATTTACTATTAATTTCAGTATTCTTTCATTTTCCTAAAGGCCTTTGGATTTCTAGTCCTGGGTATGACGATAAACTACATCCGGCACCCAGACATATGATCCAGAGATTGGAGGTTTTGAGGAGCGTGAAATCACCTCTTAATTTCTGGTGTTCCCAAGACCAACGTGACCCGAGGTGGTAGCACCTGTTAGGGTTCGAAGCTATGGATAAATAGCGAACCCCACTAAACAAAGCAGTTTGAAAATATATTTTTGTAATAAAAAATACCAGCAATACCTATATGTAGTGAAATTACGAACGCTACTTCTAATTGAAGTTATAAAATTGCGCTCACCGACTTTAGTAATTATGTCCACACAAATGAATAAAAAAAAGCTGTGTATCATCTACCATTTGTGAATGCAAAATAAAATACCGGGTGTAAAAGCAAAATTTCCTGTATGTTAGATTAACATCTGAACCGTTGTATCTTAGAAATGATTAAAGATATCTTAATGGAATTCTCCGAAGTTTTTAACACTACTCATCTCTACTTTGAGCAGTAAGACTGCATAATTACTCTACAAGATTAACAGAAGACTCCAGATGAAATCGATCGTAAACGAAAATGACATGTCCATCATTAATTAACCATAGCAAAAGATCGGACACCCATGAAGGATTGAAATAAAGTTCAAATTCAAATATATATATATATATATATATATATATATATATATATATATATGAAAGTGAACATTGAATTCAAAAAGAGGCAACAGGCTGTTTCATGCTAGAAGCAATCGTCAAGCCGCCTGACAATTGCGTCTAGCATAAAAAAAATGTCGCCTCTGAGTGTTGACTTCGATGTTCACTTTTATATTTATATTTACATGCGCTGTATCTCTGATATTGATCACGTTATCCCATAAATATAGCACACCTTAATCAACGGATTTGCACCAAAATTTACATGCACATGCTCCAAGTTAGCGTGAAGGCCTAGACCGACTTTGCATTTCCCAACTCATCGATAGTGGAAATAATCGATTTTTTCATGCTTCTACGCCAGTTTTCATGTAGTTTATCGCCATTTTCTACTGGCCAGAGTGAGAGCCTATAGCTAGCTTCCATGAATAGCCGGGAAGATTCTATTGGCCAGCGTGAGAGTCAACAACTGACTGACACGAATTTTAAACTAGCATGCTAGCATGCAAAAAAAATCGATAGCTGCATTCGTCACAAGTGGTAAAAATTTAAATCTGCATGGCACTTTATTCCAATTGGCTTATTCACTTGCTTAAACTCAACGTTGATTCTGATTCCGCAGAAGTGGGTTGGGTGTGAAAAAGTATTTGTTGTTAACATTCTTTTTTCATTCGGTTTTTCCAGTTACGAGTCCTTTTTTAAAGCTGATTTTTTGTGTTAATTTTGTTTAGTTCTTTTTTCGTAACAGATTTAATGTTTAGTATAGAGCTTAGAAAAAATTCGCAGTGTGAGATAGGCAAGAAGTAAGGCATGTAGCAACATCAGCACGGCAAAGGGCACTCTTTTAAAGGCAAGGAAGGGCGAAAAAATGTTATGGTCCGGTTCCTTGTACCACGGTGATAGTCCAAAATAGAACCAATAAAGAAGAACGCGAACACGTATGTGGAATAACACAGATATATTACGAAACAGGAATATATACAGAGAAGTAGAAAGTGTTAGTACGAACAATCAGGTTTAGTAGTTATTGTCTGAACGCAACTCTGTTTCGGACTGCCTCTGACTAGACTGACTGACTCGCTCGCTCTGACTGACTGACAGACTCCCGACGAACTTTACTCCAGACTGAACAGTATTTAGTCACCACGAGGGCATCATGTGGCACAAGGCCGGTTTAACGTGGGATCTCCGAGCCCGTGGGATCTCCGAGCCCGTGGGATCTCCGACCAGTGGGCTCGGCCAAAAATATGCCCTTTGAACCCGTATAAACGGGCTCAGGGTCGGTTTACCTCCCCGAAAGAGACTCCTCCCTTCAGCGTAGCCTCGTTCAGGTTCCTCCCCGCTCGAAGGCAGAGGTCAACGGATCAGCCGGTCAGCCGTTCGCCCGACTTCGGACTGAACTGTCTGCTTCCTCTTGAGGCGCAGTATTTATTATGTATGGAATAGTCCATTATGTTATTATGGGTAAGGTCCCTTAACAGACAGTGTGTCTGACAAAAAACGATTTTAACCTGTTCTCTTTTTAACTGAATTACTCAAATGGTTATTCAGTGATTTTTACAACAAATCGTGTCAAGATGGTTATTCGTCTTATCTGATGTTGTAGCGTACCTACGGACGATAATGCGTATGTCCCTATTCACATAAATACAGTAGTAAATACTGTATGTTGGTCTGCAGTTGGAGATTTGTCTCCAGCTGTGCTGGTCAAACTCTCTGCCTCCGGGCAGAGAGGATCCCCAGACGAGTCTATGTCGAAGGGCAGAGTTTCGTGTCGGAAAACAGCTAAACGACCCCGTTTTATAAGAGATCTACGGGGAATTTTTGACCGAGCCTACGTGCTCGGACCTTACATTAAATTCGACATGTGCAACATCTGACCGCGTGGGGCGGTTGGTAGACATTCTGCAGTTGGAGATTTGTTTCTAGCTGTGCTGGTTAAACTCTCTTCCTCGGGGCAGAGAGGATCCCAAGTTGAAACTACGTCGAAGGGCAAAGTCTCGTCTAGGGAAACAGCTACACGACCCTGTTTTATAGGGGGTCTACAGAGAATCTGTGACCGAGCCTACGCGCTCAGATACCCTACATTAAATTCGGTCTTGTGCTACTTTCTACCGCTTGGGGCGTTTGGTAGATATCCTAGAGTTGGAGATTCATTGTGGTAATCATTTGACTCACTTCTAGCAGTTGAATACTTCATCTACGCGCAGCTGGCGAATCTTATATGTGTTGTTCTTGTACTAAGTATTATCGTTCATTACCGACCTTCGTTTGATTATTCTATTCAGTAACCATCCGTAGAAAAACAAATTCTATTAGTTTAGTGTTATTTTTTGATATTAAACATTTCGTGGGATGGGTAATTATACTTGTTGTGGATTCCGAGATGAATTCGGTCTCCAATGAAGAACAAACGCAATAATTAAATATAAGAAATAAAATGTATTTACACAATCATACAAAGGGTAATACTGTTAGTAAATCCAGGAACACGGTTAGTAGCAAATACAGATAGATATATACAGTCTCGAAGTAGGACTTCCTTAG